TGATCTTACCACTTAGAGTGGTCCACGGATCTGCAGACTCAGCATCACCTGAGCTCTGGGAGCTTGTCAGAGACTCAGAATCTTGGGCCCCAACCCACAGCAACTAGAGCAGAATCTGCATGTTAACAGGATCCCCAGGTTATGTGTTTGCCCACAAAGATTATGCAATGCTTCAGACTGGGTGGTGACCAGAAACTATTGCTTCCTACTATGTTGGGGATGATATGTGAAACTCTTCATCATGAGTTTTTGTGGTAAGACTCAAGATGAAATATTTCCAGCTGATGACTTCCAGTTGGAAATATTTGGTGTAACTGTGGCCAGTCCACTATTACTACCCTCTCTTAGACCTTCTTTTTCGTTCATGTTTTCTGAGTGTGTGGGGAGAAATGATATTTGATAGAAACTACGACTGTAGGATCTAACCAGACAGACATTTCAGGTGTGAGATTCTCCAGGTTTGGAACTCACTGAGCTCTCGGGGAAGGAATCAGCTTCCCTAGTGCTGATCGGTATAGTTTTAGGCTAAGGTAGTTGCAAATGAAGAGAACACCTCTGTGTACAGAGGATTGAATACTTCAGGGTTTGGGTGATGAGAAGGTAGCTCTTGGTCAGGAACACCTGTCCTCTGGTCCTGAATGTCATGTACGTTGTTTTAGTACCACGTAAAGGATGTCAAACCACTAATTGCTGCTGAAAAATATGAGTTCTGATTTCAAAATAGCAAATTCAGATTATTCTGTCCCCTTAGATAAAAACCATCAGCAAATGCTCATCAAACCGTGTTGCCCACGCTCACATTTTATGTAACTCTTTAGCAACCATTTGTGACTTGTGTGACACGAAGAGCGAGTACATTGGGTACAAATTCTGGTTCCACCCCGTCAGCGCACTCCATCTGAGCCTCAGTTTCCTCCTCTGGAAAATGAGTATCACAACACCCTGCAGGGTGGTGACAAATGTTAAGTGACATCATGGATGTAAGGCTCCGTCAAGGACAGTTGTTATTTAAGAAATATCTTCTGGTATGTGTGCATGGATGTCACATGTGTAAGTGTTCTATTGTGTATGTGTGCCTTGGAATTAGCATTGCAGCTTTTATTAGATGACTCAGTTGTATTAAATGAGTTCTCATTTAAACTTCAAAGAGAAGTTTTGGTTGTGTAGGCCAATCCAGGTACTGGAATGATTCTCTCTCTCTCACACACACACATAAACACACACACACTGTTCTCAGGTAAAACTTATAAGTATCATTAAGTCATCAGTGTTAAATATGCCAGAGGCACTGTCTTTTCCTTTTTTGCATGACCTCACTGAAAATACATTTTAGAAGCTCTTTAATCCTCTTCAGAATGATGGTGACATGTAGATGTTGTAATAGATTAAATGAGGTGGGGGATGAGTCACAGGTATGCAATAAGTTGGAAAATAAATATTGTTACGATACACAAACAACCAGCAGAACACTTCAGAGGATATGTCAACGCCAAAAATCTTAAATGTGTGATGGCTGAAAAGCTACATAAGAGCATAGTATTTAAAGTACAGCATTGTGAAGAATCGTGCCTAGATGGGTGAATTATATTCAAAGGTCTTACAACTTATGAACTCAAACATGATTAACTGGGGGCTATGTAATAATCATGATCATCTTAATCCATAAATGCCTTGTACTTTCTTGGTGAAGGAGAACGTTGCTGACCTACAATGTTGGAAACAGGTCACCTTTCAGTGAAACTCTTGATCTGTGTGATACTGTAAGCATAAATATTTATAGAGAAATTGTTAATGTCCCTGGAATGAGGAACTAAAAGATAGAGTCAAAAGGAATCGAAACTCGGAGATAAGAAGGAGAAGAACTTGTCTGGGCATCCTGCCACGCTCCAGTGAGGAGCAGGGACGGTCCCCCCCTCTGGCTTAGAGCTACCCTACTTGATCCCCATTTATGCAGGGTCGGAAAGGACAGCTGGTGCTTTGGGAAAAACACTCCTCCTCAAACTGCTTTCCATTAAACTCCACACCAATCAACGATCAACAACGCAGAAGGAGCTTTCTGGCTTTTCCATAGTTCATGTACTTAGAATTATTATTTTAAATTTGCTATGAGTTTTTAAAAAGATACAATACTTTCTTTAATTCTGTATGTCAGAGATGCTGGAATGAGCAGGAATAAGACCTGAGTCCCTGGAGGGCTTGGCTGACTTTTCATCTCTCAAACAAGAAGGTTCAATCAATGAACCTGAACCAATTTTAAAAAATCAGATTGGAATGAATTCAATATCTATCAAAGAAATATAAAATTTGCATTTGGGAACTATTAAAGCAGTTCAATATTTTTAAAGGAAAAAATCTCTTGTGTGTTTCCTTAATTTTTGAGGCTGGGTGTGGTGGCTCCTGCCTGTCATCCTAGCACTCTGGGAGATAGAGGCAGGAGGATTGCTTGAGTGCAGGAGTTCAAGATCGGTTTGAATCAGAGTGAGACCTCATATTTATTAAAAATAGAAAAAACTAGCTGGGTGTGTTGGTGCACACCTGTAGTCCCAGCTACTTGGGAGGCTGAGACAAGAGGACTACTTGACGCCAGGAATTTGAGGTTGCAGTAAGTTATGATGATGCCACTGTACTCTAGCCTGGGTGACACAGAAAGAGACTCTCTCTCTCTCTTTTAGTTACTTGGATTAGAGATGTTTTCCTGATGAGTCTATCATTTGCATATGTTACTATTTTACTTGGCTGAGAAAAAAAAAATCTAAGAGGTAAAGGAAATGAGGAGGGTAAAATAATACCGCAAGGTTTCATCACAGACACTTACTACAGGAGACTAACCCTTTGGCAAAAGGGCACAGGAAGAGATTTAGGTGGAAGTATGTTTGCAGAGGTTTGTGAAATACTTTTCAAAGTGAAGTAGTCATCGTACTTCCGAGTTTTTATTCAGCTGTATTTCCTGAAAGCAGTTCTCTACAATTCTATAAGATGAAACTCTCATCGCAATCATTTGGGAGTGACACGAACGAGGTTCTTATTTTTCCATTAGTTGCCATTAATTCCTATGGAGAGTATTAAAATGTTACTAACACAGGGAACGTACAGACAAATAACAAAGTACTCACCTGAAACTGTTGAAACAGTAGGTTCTCCTACTTGGCTGTATTTTGTAGTTACTTGGGAATCTTTAAAATATAGCAATGCCTGGGTCCCAGCCTTCAAAAATCTTGATTCAATTGGTCCAGAATGTGGCTGGGGCATGAGAACTTTCATATCTCCCCAGGTGATCCCGAGGTGAGCCAAGTTTAAGAACCCTCCACACTAAAGAAACTTGCTTGGATCCCCTCCTCTTACCCGCCTTTCGCTGCTGTAGTTCAAGTCCTTGCTCCCTGCTCGGCACTCCCCATCCCACTCACCATATCATTGCTACATTCCTTAATAATGAATTTTTACAGTTTAGATCCCAATTTCATACATTGTCAACAGGATAGGTGTGTATGTAAAAACAGTAGCAGAAAAATGAACCTATAAAGGCGTTTGGTTGCATTGAGTGACATTAGATTTATCTACCCAGCCATTTTATGAGTCTATAGGCAAGGATGTTGACATAAATGTTAAATACCAACGTAGTACTTTATTGATCCTTCTCTGGATTAGCCGACTATTTGTTTAGTTGGATTTCGGGCAATAGAATGATAATTGCTATTTATTTGAGGTATTTCTGGAATGAAAACAGTAGAACTTATTACCTCCTCCTTTATGTGGGTTGGGTGTGTGCTGGTCAAAACCAAAAATAAACAAAAACTTCTTTGGTTGGTAACTCTCCTGAACACACAGGCACTAATGGATTTGTAATTCTGAAAGAGTTTTGGACTGATTCAAGTGTGAGAGAAAGATAATCTATGTTACCTAGAGCCCCAAATCATGGAATTGTCTCTTTATGCAGGTGAGTGGTTTAATCTCTCTCTGTCTCTTCTTAGTGAAACAGAGCAAGTCTTTATTTATAGGGAAACCAACCACTCTAATTTGCCTGCGACTGAGGAGTTTCCTGGGCAAACTGGGATGAGTTGGTCGCTTTAATTGATACTGTGAAAATTCATAAAACTTTAAGGAGACTTTAGGTCCTGGGATGAAAGATTATTCATATGTTATGACTTGCTATTACCAAATCACATGTAAATCACTATGACTGTAGATGAAAGGTTAGTGATTATTTTCTAGATCTGGTATTATAAATTTCTCTACAGTTTGTCACATTCTTTTTGAGAATTCTTCAAAAGATTGTCCTAGCAGTGCTCAAATTTCACCTTGAGAAAAATATGTGTATCATGTGTACATTTTCTAGATTTCAAGAAAGAGATGATGATGTCCAAAATAGCGGAATGAATTGGGGATACAATAGAGAAAAATTCATTTTTACATATGTTTTGATGCTATAGTACCCTATGAACATAAGGAAATTCTCTTAGTAAAATGAAATAGAAAAATAGGCTTGGCACCTATAGCTCAG